CTAATAGCCAGACCTCACTGTAAGCCAGACCTCACTGTAAGCCACACCGGGCTATAAGCCGAACCACATTTAGTTCATTTGTTGATTTCTTCTCTTCTTTTATCCAGAGCTAAATGGGTTCATGGTGATGAACAGATGGGTGTGGTCTGTATCGCTATGGTAACTGATGTTGTTGTTTATTAAGATCTGATGTAGATGGAGCATGGAGATATTGAATAGGAGGGGCCCTAAGATGGACCCCTGAGGAACCTCACATGGAATCTCTTCCTTCATAGTAGGAATTAAACAGTCAAGTTCTGGATCAGAAAGATGAGGCGACCCGGTTCTACCAAGAACCGGGAAAAGCCCGGAAGTAACCAGTTTACGCAACAGAACCGCAGACCATGCAGGTTTCAAACAGACTGAAGCACAGAGAAGAACCCCTAACTGCATCTTTTCAGTGTTTGAATATTAAAGTTCACAAAGAAAACACAGACTTACAGTTTCTCATTTGATAGTCTGAATGAAATACATCACAGGATTTATGTTGTTCACAGCATAAAATAATTCACTGCGATAGCAGACGACGCTAAGTTCCTCCTTTGGTCAGGTGACCCACTGAGGGACGCCGTGACGTCACTTTAGACAGGAAGTAGTCATTTTACGTAGCGAGTCGATATTTATTTACCTTAGTGATGGAGGTTTTATCCTTTAACGAGGACGAAGCAATCAGAGTCTGAGTGGTTTTATTAACGCTCGCTGGTTTAATCACCGCTGCTGAATGTTCTTTGATCTTTGAAGTTCATTATTATTATTCAGAACATTTTCCAGATGCTGCTTAGTTTAACCATTAGTTTAAACCAGAGTCTAACCTTTAGTTTGAAGAAGGGATCAGAGGACTGGGATTGGTTCTGTGAAGGCTGGGGGTCAGTGCTGGATCACTGGATAGGCGGTCCCTCAGTAACTGGTTCGGCTCATGGTCCCGGGGCCGGTGGGGGCCCAGCTGTGGGGCCCCGCCTTTAGGAACTGACTGTTATCCATCAGGATCTTGTTGTTTTGGAGCCCAGACCATAATGACCATAATGTGCAGCTAGTTAGGGTTCATTGTTTTATGAAATAACCGATGTTTTGAATCAGCTTTATTACCATCAGGCAGTTTATTAAATCTATCCAATCCAACTGATGCTGATTAGAGCAGGACTGATGATGATAGAATCTGATGTGATCCAAACATAGTTTGTGGTGGTCGCACCAGATTGTCCGGTCGATTTTTATCTCACCCCAAACCGGCTCCTTCAGATAATTAAAAAGAAAATTCCGTTTTGTTTACCAGCACTGATGAGAACACATTTTTGTTAACCCTAACATTCCTTTTCCCGATCCAAAGCCATTCCTACAACGGACCGCTGTAATGACGTTTTAACGATCCTTTCAGAGCCCTTAACAATGCGTGAAGTAGTGTTTCTATAAAACCGCCGGAAGATGTTTGACTGCAGTGACATCACAGCTGGGTTTGGTCATGTGATCTAGAGGCGCCCAGCATGCTGTAAAACTTTCTGATTTTTAATTACTTGGAGCATATTTAGCATGATTTAGACCACATAGAGAAAAGAAAGACCATAAACCTGCTCTAGACGCGCTCCTTTCCATTTGACCTTTAAGGTTCTGCTTTCCTAAGGTTTTATTCCCGGGTTCTGGTCGGAACCACAATACTCGGTTCAGTCATTAACCTTTGACCCATCTCCTTCTTTGTCTGTCTGTCTGTCCTGCAGGACCTGAAGCAGTTCGACCCGTTCCAGGAGTGGACAGATGGTTACGTTCGCTACATCTACAGCGGTGAGAAACCGTTTTCCTTCTTCTGTCTCATTCTTAGTAGGATCATCTTCCGGTTCTGGTTCTGTTGGGTCTCGCTGCTGAATCCCACATTTTCTTAGTCTTAGTCTTGAGTCCAAACGTACTGACAGGCGTAAAGAACCGTTTTATTTAATCTAAGGACAACGAGCAATAGGAGGAAAGAACTCTGTAACCATGGCAACAGGGCCAACCACCTAATGGGGCGGAGGTTCTAATGCGGGACACATTCAGCGTGTTTACGAAGAAAAATCAAATCCAACCTGAACCGCGTCATCTGCAGTTTATCTACAAACTGTATGTCTATGAAACGTGAAGGTTTATGGAGATAGATTTATTAGAAATAGAACAAACAGGAAGTCGTTTCAGGAGAACAGTTCAAACCTGAAGACTTTTTCAGTCAGATGTGTTGTTTGGTTTTATATCCCAGAGCAATAAGAACATCTCCAGTTTTATATCTGCTTCTGTCTCCTTGAACCCCAGTGGGCCTCAGCAGATGGCCGCTCACACTGAGCCTGGTTCTGCTGGAGGTTTCTTCCTGTTCAAAGGGAATTTTTCCTCTCCACTGTCGCTACAAGCATGCTTGGTGTGAGGGATTGACTGTCTCTACCTGCTCATCCAGGAGGAGAGAATCATCCTGCAGAATCAATTGGTGCAATCGGCCATTTTCTTAAAATAAATAGCCAATGTCGGTGTTGGAGCTGCACCTGGACTACTCTGCTGCCCTCCTCCTTTTGGCAGCACCAAGTCCAAAAAAGGAATGTCCTCCAGGGTCTGTGGGCTTGTTCTCCACTGGAGAATCGGCCCCCGGATGCTGGAGGATAATGTATGTAGGAGGAGATGTTTAGTGTCCACCTCTGTGTGTCCCTATGGGTGTTAAGAGGACGGATTGTGTGAAGCACTGTGGATGAATTTGTCGCTGTCTTCTTCTGAGGCAGAATGTTTCTTCCCCAACTCACTGAACAGCCCCAGTATGAGCGGAGCCTGGCTCCTCCCCCTTTCTTATGCTCCTCCCCCTTCTTGTGAGGTGCCTGTGTCTTGTGGTGCAGTGACGGTTCTCTAGGGTTTGGTACTTTGGTGGGTGCTGGCAATCCTGGTAGCTGCCGGGCTGGGCCTAGACCTCTTGGTGCTGTGGGGTCCCACTAGGTGACTGTGCGCCCCAAGGCCTCAGACCCCTGGGTCCCCCATGGGCTTGCCGCTGCAGCCTCCTTTGGGGTTTGGCCCCTGGGGGTTCGAGCCCCTGGTGCTCTTGTCTTCCTCTCCTTGGTGAATGTGGCCGTTCCTTTGTCCGCCCTCCTTGTGTCCTAGTGATCTGGAGTATGTTTGGATATCTGAGGCATGAGCATAGTTTCCTTCTGTAGACCTTTGGGAATCCTTTGGACACCAGCATGCCCATACATCCATACCACAGGAGTTTGGTTCCAGGCGTTCACAGATAACCTGCAGCTACAAATATAGAAAACCCTGAATAATATTGTAAGTGGCCGCAAACCGGAGGCCTCTGATTGGTCAAATCTACATCCACTCTACACTATGCGTATTTCCTGTTTGGTTCCTTACCGGGACCCTTTTTCCACCTGGATCCCCGCTCTTTTTTTGGCCCTCATGTCCCTCCATTGTCGCATAAACTTGCCCACACTTCCTCCCCGCCACGGCCGTATCTAGACCCACAGCTAGTTCCTGATCAGCCCAACAAAATTCACTCTCTGCATTAAACCCATCCCCTTTGGGAGCAGTGGGCTGCCACTGTGCGGTGCCCAGGGAGCAGTGTGGGGTTAAAGGTCTTTCCTCAGAGACCCAGAGTAGCAGTCTATGGTCTGTTGAATGGTTTTCAAACTCACAACCTCAGGTTTCCAAGCTCTATTCTCTAACCACTCTACCCAAATATTTGTTCCCTGACCGGGAATCTGGCCGCTGCAATGAGAACGCTGAATCCTAACCGCTAGACCCCCAGGGATCTCAGTTAATCAAACTCTAAGCCAATTTTCATTTAAAAGAGAGCACGTCCAGTTAGTCCCAGTAGAACCTGAGCTCATAGTTACGTCTAGGAGAGAAACAGGACTAAGCACAGAAAAACAGGCCAAGCCCCAACCTCTATAATCTAAGGCAGAAGTATTCAACTGCATTTCAGGAGGGTCCCATTCCTCAACTTCCATCCTCTATGGGGCCCTTAACCAATGGATGTTGCACCCTTATTACATCACACAGGCAGCTTTGCTTTGAGAACTCAGTTGACCTGATTCGAATCTTCTGTTGTTTTGCAGCTGATGATAAGAACGCTCAACGGCATCTCTCTGGCTGGGCCATGAGGAACACCAACAACCACAACTGTCAGATTCTGAAGAAGTCCTGTCTGGGTGTAGTGGTTTGTTCCCGAGGCTGCACCCTGGCAGACGGTTCCAGACTGCAACTCCGTCCAGCTATCTGTGACAAGGCTCGACAAAAACAGCAGAGTAAGTCTCAACCAGACCTTATTGCTAGCTGACTGCTGGTACTGTGACTTTAGACATCTGATTAGAGTCTGTGTTTCAGAGAAGATGTGTCCGAACTGCAATGCTGCCCTGGAGCTGCTGCCATGCCGAGGTCACAGCGGTTACCCTGTTACTAACTTCTGGAGAGTTGACTGCAAGGCCATCTTCTTCCAGGTGAATACCTCTTACCTCCAGCCAATGAACCCATTGGCTGGAACCCAAACCCAAACCCACCGAAACTGAGTCTCATTGCCAACAGGGCAGACAAGTCCTGAAAAGAGTGAAGAGAGCCAGCAGAGGTTCTCTGACATATAACCACGTTCCAACGACGTGAACATAAGTTACCCTCACTTCTATAGTCCTGTTCAGGCAACGAAACCTCAGAACATAGCCACCAAACACCAGGCGTCATTCAGACGTTGGCTTTTAGGCTCAATCGGGTCGGTCCATCATAGTCTGGATTTAGTCCAGGAAGTTGAAAATTGGGCTGTCTTTGGTCGGTCTGATTTTGTTCCACTTTAGTCCAATTATAGACATTAAAAAGACGTTGCAAACCCAGTTTTCATTGTCTTCTCAACGATCTGAAAATTAGGGCTTTTCACCTTTCACTTTTCAACCAAGTGTAGACATTGTTTGGATGTAAATCATGTCGTCTTTACAACCAATTTTTGTTCGGGGGAGAGTATCGGGTTTAAAGAGAACTAATCCTGTTCAGGTTCTAAACAATCAGTTTCATTGTTTTCTCTGTCTAAAGCTGTTGTTCTGGTTTTCAGGCTAAAGGGGTCCATGATCACCCAAGACCAGAATCCAAATCTGAAACTGAAGCAAGAAGAAGTTCAGTAAAGAGACGAGTCAGTTCACCGCCGTTCACACCCAAAAGACGTCTCATTGATGCACAGGTCAGCCTGGGTACTGGGACCAGAACACTTCTTTGCACTGGTTCAACTTGTTCACTGCATTTTTGTCGACCATTGTTTATCTACCACCTGCTTTTTGATGCTCTAAGGTGTATTCACTCCAAATGCGAATTTGGCGAATATGTTGTATGGGTCACTTGCCATCGGTTGCTTGACAATTCAGCTGCCTCTGGCAAACAACCTGGGAAGACATTTATCCGGGTCACATCACCACTTCATCTAATAAGAGGAAACACAGAATACACCATAGTCTGGGGCCGAGAATATGGGAATATTCGTTCAAATCACCGTGGAGGAGAGCAAATGGTGGCAAACTAAAGCATCGGCATCAATGGGTCCCTGACTGGTTAATAAAACATGAATTTACAGAAAAGTTTAAATATTCAACTCCTGAGAAACTTGACCTAGCTATAGCATCCATGCTGTTTCTCTCTAATCGCCCAGTAAAAAACATTCCTGTCTCTGAAAACTTCATAACATTAAAATCACTTGATCCAGTTGCTGCATTTGCATTGGGTGTGAATGCACCTTTACTTTACCACCGGTTTGCTGTTGCTTACTTCAGCCTTTTGTTTTTTGAACCATCTGCTTGTTGTTTCCTCTCTCAGGCCCTGGGTCCAGCCCTACTTTGTGTGGAACCACCTGAAAGGATCTCTTTCATTGAGCCAAACTTCCCTCAGCATTACCCACCTTTCCAGAGCACCGAGTCCTACTATAACCCCCATAATGCACTTGGAGAGGCCCCACCCACTCTTCAAAAACCAGCCAATACAAGACTGTACATGGGACGACCTGGCTACGAGTTCCAAGGATACTTGACCTCCCCTACATATCCTGTGACTTCTGATCTCTGCGATCCCAGGTCAGGCTCACAGATCCAGTCCAGACTAGGTTTTGGTTGAAACCTTTTTCACAAGCCTTAGATCAGAGCTGGGCTAAACACAAAGTAAATCTTAGATTCTGGCCGAGAACACCGGTCTAAACCTGGATGGTGGACCTCTCTCGTGTTTACACTATGGTTTTACAGTGTTAATGGCACCAAACCAGAGACCTTTGTCACGTATTTTCTGGTGTTTGGACATGTTTTAGATGCTGGCAGCGTGACGTTGGACATGTTTTAGATGCTGGCAGCGTGACGTTTAACTTAAATTGTGAATTGTAAATTGAACTAGACCAAGCATTTAAACAGTTTCTGACTGTGTTCATTGGATCGTTGCTGGTTTGTATAATCCGAACCATGGTTTGTCTGCAGGGTGACGCCGGTCCTAGCTTCCTCCTCTACACCCTCATCCTCATCAGCTCCTCTCTCATCATCGTCCTCCTCCTTTGACCCTCAAACGAAGCCCCCACCAGCCTGGAAGGAGCTACTGAAGAGCTCCGCCCCCTACGGGGATAACCATCACTACTACAGCACAGAGTACCCCTGTCGTTATCCAAGTAACCCTCCAGGGTCCCCTGCTGCTCTGCAGACCATCATCACCACCACAACCAAGGTAAACTCGGTTCTTAGATTTAGACAACCTTTATTGTCGTTTAGTACAGCTTCCATTGCATTTCTCTTCCTTTAAGTGCAGCAGTGATCAAATGTAAACAGTGTGGGAGAAAAAAAAGGCCAAAAAAAACCCCACACATTGATCTGGATGTTCAGAGCATTAAATAAATATGGTGCAATTATGCAGTGTTTTGGTTTAGTGGTTCATCTGGATGTTGGAGAAGGAAGCCTCTAGAATCATTTTTAATTTTCACCTTCCTATAGAGCCCCATTTGGGGGGAAAATGGACTCTATGATGCATTTCTTTCTAGTCAAAATGAACATTTCAGATATCTAAAATACCATTCCTCCTATCTAGAATAAACATTCTACATCTCTTAAACTGAACTCTGATGAGAATGAACTCCATAACACAGGTCATTATGGCAGGCCGTTTAACATTTATTAGCTTGACTGAATATGTAATCCAGAAGTCTCAAATGCATTTCTACCTTGTCAAAAAATAGACATCTAAAATAAGATTCTTCCTATCTAAAAATGAATTCTGACGAGGATGAACTCTAATTTCAGATCTCTATAATAGAGTTACTTCTAGTCATAATAACTATTTCAGATATCAAAATGAATATAAAATTCTAGATATCCAGAAATTATTGATTTCAAAAATATATTTCTGCTAGTAGAAATACAATTACAGATATCAACCACTGATATATGACTAGATAAGTTAGAATTCTAGACATCTTAACTTCAATAATGCCTATCTAAAATGCAGTTCTAGATACTTTAAAAAGAATAATGGGGCTCACACGTCTATTATAGATAGCACTAAGCATTCTAGACAGTCACAATAACAAGGTTGCTAGTCAGAATTGTATTTTAAATATAACTAATTATTTTTCTACCAGTAGAAATTACATGTTAAGTTATGCGGAATAAAATTTGTATTAGTAAGATCTACATTTAGCTTGAGTGGATATGTATTTCAGATATCTATAATAGTATTCCTCCTATCTAAAATGACCAGATATCTAAAAATGTTTTGTCTTTCTAGTCCAAATGACGTCACTTTTCCCCATTCATGTGTATTGGGCCATTATTTTCAGATATCCTAAATGACGTCACTCCTATTTGAAATAAACATTCTGGATGTCTATAAATTAATTCCTCATCCCTGTATTACATTTGGTACTGGTCATTATTTTTATGTACTAGTAAGAATTATATTTAAGATATCTAGAATGTTCATTTTTGACTAGGAAGAGATCATTTCAGACATCTGGAATAGATATTCAGTCAAGCTAATGAATGTCAAAATGGCTACTTCTTTGTAGAGATTTCCTGGTTTCTGAAAGTTTATTC